AGGCTGGGGTCAGAGTGCATGTATCTCTATGGAAACAGCAATGAGCCTGGCCCCTGCAGGACCCCAGTTCCAGTGGGGGATGGGGAGGCCTAGCCCCAGCTCAGGGGCTCCTTTGGCAGCAGCTCTAGAGGAGAAGCTCCAGGCCAGGACATGTGGCTAAGGAGCAGGGAGGCCACATGGGCAGCGGACTCTACCCCTTAGGGTTGTAGGCTCTGAGTAGATAGAAACTGAACAGGGTGCAGCCAGAGTAGAACTTTCATTCAAAAGCAGCAAGAAGAGTCTTCACAAGACCAAAACAAGGCTCAGCCCCAGCTGCTACTGTGCCTCTCCCTGGGTATTCTGCCTGCCGTATGTGGCCCACCCAAGAGCCGGCCTACTGCTAACAACCCTCCACCTATTTGAGGCCTCCCTCCAAGGGCAGCTTTTGCTGTCTGCAGAGCTTGGAGCCAGCCTAGGCTTTCAGAACTTTTAAGCTGTCTGTAGGCCCAGAGGTAACAGCCCACTGGGACCCCACATTTGAGCTATGGAGGAGCATGCAGCAGAGGGCCTTCTTTCTCAGGAACCCATGGTGGAGTCCTGTGCAGGCCTCTTTCTACCTGCTCTGGTAAGACCCTTGGGTGTGTGCAGGGTGGAGAGACAGGGTTCAGCAGGCCAGAATGACTGAAAGGAGCTCAGAACCTCCACCCCTGGAGAAAGCCTGCCTGGGCTCAGGCAGGCTTGTGCTGGGCAGGAAAAGACCAATCAGCCCCAAATAACTTTCTTCAAGAAAAATCCAAACACACACTCATATGTTTTGAATACACGTTGATTGCATTATTCTAAATGCTGGCTTTTTTTTGTGGGGGGGGCATGAAGTAGCCCTAATTCCAAATCTGTGAAATCAAATGCAATGTGGTAGTATCTGTCATGTGCTGCAAGGATTTAAAGGGTGCTAGGGAGGCAGGAAGTTTATAGGCTTGTCCCCAAGTGGTATCTAGAGCCTGGAGAGGGTACCTATTCACCTCCCCACAGCCAGAGGAGTTTGGTTACTACTTGGGTGGGGCTTCTGGGAGCCTACAGTGGGTCCTGGCAGTAAATTCATGGGGCAGCGAAACTTACAGCTATAGCCCAACCACAGGAGCCAGTAGGGCTTCACTGTATAGGGTTTGGAGAATGGATAAACAATTTGGTAACCCCTCCCACTGGGGTCCCTGGCGTGCCCTGGGGTGGTCCCTGTGCTAGTGGGAAGCAGATAAAGCTGTGGCTGAGGGTAGTGGGGTCTGTTTCAACAGGGCTTGCTCATTGTCCTGTCACTGAGCCCCTTCCTGAATCACAAGCCTTGGGTTCCCCCACATCCTGCTTGCTTTTAATGGACCCTGCCTGGGCTTAGGGAACTGCCAGCTTTTCAGACCAGTGGACAGAACACTGGACTGTGAGCACTCATGAGGAGCTGGGGAGGCCTGAGGGATTTAGGAGCAGGCCAGGCCAGGGCTACAATAAGGGCTTGGCTGAAGTCTTAGGTAATAGCACCTAGTCTCAATGCCAGGTGCCTGTGTCTATGGGTGACCTGGCTGTAGCAGTCTTGAATAGTGTGCTGCAGTCTGAGGTGTCAGAGACTCAGGGACAGGAGGGGAGGTACACAGCCTTGTCCAGATAGCTTACATCTTTCTCAGCACCACTCAGGAGCCCAGACTGCCAGGAAGGAAATGAACACAGGCTACGCACCATATGCCAGATTTTCAGGCTAGTTCCTGCCACCTGCTTTTCATTGTGCAGTCAGCAGTAGAAACTCTGAGGAATGGAGGGTCCCTTGGCTCTGGTGCCTAAGGCTGTGCCTCCTGCTGTGCGGGACAGCTCTCAGAAGCCTGGAAAAAAGAAGCCACTTCTTGCCTCCCTCCTCCCTCACACTTGTTTAAGCTTGGCATGTGTCTGTCTCCACTGCCATGTACTCCTCCCTGGTGTGCCAGACTCCAGCCCAGCTCCCTTCAGTTGCCATAGGCCAGCTTCTCCAGGAACAGATGAAGTTTGAAAGGCCAAATGCTTATTAGGGACTGTTACTAGTTTCTTAGGGCTATCGTATCAAAGTACCATGAATCAAGAAGCTTAACAGAAACTTAGGGTCTCACAATTCTGGAGGCCACAAATCTGAGATCAAGATATAGGCAGGACTGGTTGCTCTCAAGGCTGTGTGGGACCCTGCTGCTGGGCTCTCCCCAGTTCCTGATGCTCATATTTCCCCTTTTTATAAGGACACTAGTCCTATTGCATTAGGGCCCACCCCAATGACCTTATTTTAACTTCATTTCCTCTGAAAAGACCCCCATCTCCAAATAATGTCATATTCTGAGGTATTGAGGGTTAGGGACTCTTCCCTCTCTAGATTTTTGTGTGTGTGTGTGTGTGTTTATATATATATATATATTTTTTTTTTTTTTTTTTTTTTTTTTGAGACAGTTTTATTGTGTTGCCCTCAGCAGAGTGCCACAGTGTCACAGCTCACAGCAACCTCAAACTCTTGGGCTTAAGCGATTCTCTTGCCTCAGCCTCCCAAGTAGCTGGGACTACAGGCACCCGCCACAATGCCTGCCTATATTTTATTGCAGCTATTATTTAGCTGGCCAAGGATGGGTTCGAACCTGCCAGCCTTGGTATATGTGGCTGGCGCCAAAACCACTGTGCTACAGGCACCAAGCCTATGAAATATATATTTTAATATATATATTTAAATAATGTATATTTTTTAAGTAAATTTTTTTTTTTTTTTAAATAGGGTCTTGCTGTTGCCCAGGCTGGAATGTAGTGGCATCATCACAACTCACTGCAACCTGAAACTCCTGGGCTCAAACAATCCTGCTTTAGACTTCCAAAGTGCTGGGACTAGGTGCATGCTACCATGCCTGGCTAATTATTTTAAAAAGGTTTGTAGAGATGGGATCTTTGTATAATATGTTGCTCAGACTGGGCTCACACTCCTGGCCTCAAGGGATCTTCCTGTCTTGACCTCCCAGAGTGTTAAGATAATAGGTGTGAGCCACTGTGCCTAACCTAAACTTTAATTTTTATAGCGGGTTTGAGTTCACAGCAAAACTGAGCAAAAAGTACAGAGTTCCTATACACCCCTTCCTCACGTCCTACAACCTTCCCTATCACCAACATTTCCCACCACAATAGTACATTTGCTATAATCAATGAGCCTACATTGACACACATTATTACTGAAAATCCACTTTATGTTAAGTTTCCCTCACGGTGGTGTACATTCTGTGGGTTTTGACAGGTGTATACTATGCATCCACTGTTACAGTACTGTACAGAAGAGCAGCTTCACTGACCTACACATCTTTGCTCTGCTTATTCATCACACTCTCCTCCCAGCCTCTGGTAACACTCATCTTTTTACTGTGTCCACAGTCTTGCCTTTTCCAGAATGTCATATAGCTGGATTCCAACAATATGTAGAACAAGCCTTTGTACCTCACTCCCTCAGTCGCTAGCTGTGGCTGTGCAGGCATGATCTGGGACAAGGTGGCTCTCTGCAGTGGAGGTTGCAGCTAGAAGCCAAGTAGCAGCAAGGACCAGAGTGACACTCTTTTTTTCTTTTTTTTTAGAATTATAGAAAAATGGCCTTGAAAGTACAGTTTTTGGATGTACTTTGACCTAACTCTAGCCTGGCCCTTCAGGGCCCTGTCTCCACTAGGTCTGGAGTTTGGCCTATAAAGATTTGAACAAACGTTAACGTAGTTTCTAGGAGTTCAAAGCCGCATTCTTATGACGTCCCCGCCTCCCTTAAAGCGCTTGAGAAAATCCAAGGCTGCCTAAAAGAATTTACTGTTTGTTCCAGCAGCACCTGGAAATAGGTCAGTCGCCACCCCCACCCCCCAAAGGGAAGGCTCTAACTTCCAAGAGCTCCAGTCAGCAAACTCAGACTGACTTCACAGCGACCAAGCCCCCTTCCTGCTGTTGATCACCTTTCCCTCCCGGACCCCACCACCTCCCCCATTCCCCTGCGCTCCCATCTCCCTCGGACGCGCAGCCACCTGAGTCTATAGGACCGAGCTCAACACCTCCCGGGCACTTTCTTGCACTCCAAAAGTACACTTCCAAAGAAAATCCGTCCTTACCACTTCAGCCAGGGTCTGCCCTACCGCGGCCCCTCTCCGCCTCCGCAGCTCTCCGAGTCAGCAACGCACCAAACGGTCTCCCGGAACCGCACCCTGAGCGCGCCAGACCCACGACCCCCACGGCGCGGCCCCGCAGCCTGGCCTGAACACGTCCCCGGTGGTGAAGGGCTGCGGGGCCCTCCTGCCCACTCCGTGCCACATACAGACACTCCGCGGGAAGACCTCGCGCCGCCTCAGTCAGCTAGGTCCCTCCCTCCCGGGCTCGTCTGCCGGCTGTGTTGTCCCGGACCCTCCGGCCGGCTAGATAGAGCGGGTCAGGGACGAAGGGGAAACGGAAAGAATCCCAGACACGAGAGTGGGAGACCCACCCCGCGCCAGCCCCGTGCGTGAGCACCGCCCGCGCGCCCGCGGCAGCTCCGCGCCCGCGCGCCCAGGCCCAGGGATCAGCCGCGCGGCTCTAGGCCGCTATTGGGCTCGCGACCGTGACGTCACCGCGCGCGGCGCCGCAGGCCACGGGCCGGGCCCGGCCAGGCGCACGCCGGAGAGTAGCGGGAGCGGGGCGCGTGCCCGGCTGTGCTCCGAGGCGCGCGCGTGTCCCACGGCCGGCCCCGCCCGCGCGGCCCCGGCGAGG